TTATTAAAATTTTTTAAAAACTTATTAAAATTTTAAATATGCAAGCAAATTTGCCTGCATTACAATTTAAGGGATAATAATTTTAAGCAAGAAAAAATGGTTTACTCTTTTTATTGCAAGTGAGTCTCAGCTCAGGAATTCAAGAATTTTTAAGACAACTGGTGTAGTAGAATGGAATCTCTGGTCAAAGTTTATTCAAGTTTGGAAGTCTTGCTTATCCTTTAGTTGCATGAGGAAAGGCCTGTGACAGTTTTCTTTTCTTCAGTTCTTTTGCATCCCTCCTTATCTTTATTTTATCATAAAAATTATCTATATCATTATCATTATACTCGCTAAATCAAATACTTTCCAAAACACACACTCAAATAGAGTTAATAGGTCTATTGTTTGTTTCAAGTTATTTTTATATACAATATTCTTGTAGTAATATTTGCTGCACCACTTTCATTCTCCAAAAATTTCTTATTTAAAAAACCAAAATTAGTTTACTCCTCCAGATAATTCGCACTCTTTAATTATCTAATCAAATTTCATCTGATGATCAAAACAAAAACCAAATAAGCTCAAACTAGTTTTTTATTATAATATACATGTTGCTAAAATTTGTAAATCCTTGACACAATTGACGCAATTATTTGACGCAATTAATTGAGTCACTATTAAAACATATAAATAATTGAGTCATGATGCAATTATTTTTGAGGATTTTGGAAATTAAGTCAACAGTAAAATAATTTACGCCACATGTATAGTGGAAAATATGCTTCAGTACCAGTAAATAATAATCTTGTAGTAGGAAATCCAGCTATAAATTCTCCAGATACATTATGAGGTTGGTTAAGAGCAAAGTACCAGCGGGAAACCGTTGAAAATCAACAATTAGCTATTCAAAAATTGACTCAGGAAAAATATCAGCCCTATGATACTCCAGATACCTATGAAGCTAGAATTCGACCATTATTATTAGGAGTAGCAGACAATGATACACAAGTTTTAGGATTCCTAAAAAGCCATTTAACAGGTGATTTTTATACTTGGATGAGAATTGCTAATCCAGCAGGCATTAATGCATTTTTTACAAAACTAAAAAACATGTAGCTGGAGCATGCACCAAATTTGAATGGTCAAGTTTCTCAATAATCTTCTTATAACACCAAAATAATAAAAGCTCCTATAATTCTACAATCAGTATTTCCTATACCTGATACACAAAAAATGATTGATGAGGCATTAGCGAAACAAAAATTTAATTATGATGCTAAGATAGAAAAATTGAGAAAGGAAGTTCAATCCTCAAAAGTACAGAAAACACAGACACCAGTTCCGCAAATCATTGAAGTGGTTAGACAGCCAAGAGGCCTCCCATCAAATTTAAAAACAGAAGAAGATTATAAAAATTATTATGTAGTGAAATACTTTAACGATTTAGGTATATATAGTAATGAAGATTTAGATTCACATTATCCTAAAAAACCTTTTCAAAGAACAAACCAATCCACTAGAATT